CGGAAATCTTCTGATAGGTTGCCCTGCAAAGAGACAATACGACGAGAGATACCACAAATTTTAAGGTCAACCCAGATATTACTGTCAATAACCCTCCTTTTCAAACCAAAACCAGATGAAAAAAGATTAGGAGTGGACAGGGGAAACAATGTTGCAGAGTCTCGTAAATACATCTGCCAAACATTCACAGCATAATCCTACATTTGAAAGGCCAGCACACCCCTTTCTTGTGCTTAGTTAAAGAGGTGCGCGCACACCCGAATGTTTTCTGAGTGGGTGTGTGTGCACCGCAAAGTCTAATGTCACGGGGGCGGTTACCCTGCAGAATTATGCCAAGGGGCATGCAGAGGGCTTATTATTGGTCCTCCCAAATGTTCTTTGTACCTGCACCAGTAAATGTTGAAGGGCTTTGTGCCCGCACAAGTAAAATTTTGAAGGGCCAGTAGACCCTCCATGGACAAGTACAGTAGGTCATCTTCCCTTTCAGGGGTTTTCATGCAGCGCCATCTGAAAATCTTTGCAAGAGCCATCTCAAGTGGACACCACCCTTGAGAGAGGTGAGGGTACGAGAGACACAGAGAGAGAGAGAGAGAGAGAGTGAGGTTCTTCCCCTTTTCGCTCGCTGCCCATCGTATGCGTCCTCTGCTCTCTTTTGTTTGTTCCTCTACTTGTGGATAGAACTGCAAGCCGTCATTTGCAAAAGCTTTCTTCATTGACCCAACCCCTAGTACCTGGCTGTACCCCAATGATTGCATGCAGGTGCTTATTTTTCAGTCAGCCCAATGAATAATGTTTGTGTGTGCACATAAAACTTGTGTGTGCATGTGCACCCTCCATCTAGTTACAGGCCTGCTCTGCACTACCAGCCTGTCACCGTGCTCATCGCCCAATAACGTTGGGCCACTACGACAAAACAGGGCTCGGGCAAACACCCTCCAGCTCGTTCTGGCAAAAGCGCTGACGGCAGGCATACACCCACAACTCCGAATTGCTCCAGGAACTCTGAGCAAGTGAATTTTGTTTCGACAGAGGAGACCACAAGTTGAGGGCTCCGAACGTCAACTCGCATTCTCACAAACCCATTCACTCCACACTGATGGTCATTGTTCGTTCCATGACCATGGTTTTATAGAACCATCTTGAGCACATTGCAGATATTGATCCCTCCACGAAAATGAACGAACATGCGAGACCTCTTCATCATTTTTAAAAAGTGAAACAGACCCGTTGTGACCGGCACCCTGCATTCATTCAGGTAAGGTTAGACAGAAACATTGCCTTCATCAATGGCAGCTTGAGAGAGACAGACATACCCAGCATACACGTCTCCCACGTCCTGATCCTGGTAAGATGATGCAAGGGGCGTTCCGTAGACATTGGTCATTGGCGCTTGAATGACACCATG